TGTCACCACAGGATTCTTCGAATCGCTGCTCCGGTTTGTCCAGCCTGGTAAAGTCACATTTTTCAAACATTTATTTGACAAAATGCACAGCTGACCACATTTGTTATCTGATAAAAATAAGAGCAAGAAAAAAAAACAGTGACACTCACTGCTGACGGTTTATATTTTGCATGGGTATTTTGAACGTAGCCACCTAAAACGGAAAAGTCAGGCTTAAGATCAGGAATGATCCTCTCTGTATGAAAATATATCCCTCACACCATTATACCACCACTACCAGTCTGAACAGTTGATACAAGGCAGAATGGATCCATGCTTTCACCTTGTTTTTATGCAAGGTTCAGAGACAGGCTCAAGACTTCTCAGACCAGGAAATGTTTTTCTGTTGTCCAGTTTTCGGGGATCTTATGTGAATTGCAGCCCCAGTTTCCTGTTCTTTGCTCACTGTGGTCTTCTGCTGGTGCAGCCCATCGTTTTTAAGTTTATCCTGAGTTTAAACTTCTTGTCTTGACTATGACTCTATACTTAAATGCATTAAATTGCTGCCCTATGATTGGCTAATTGATTTTTGTGTTAACAAGTAGTTGAACAATAATAAAGGTGTCAGTAAGTGTAATCTTTCCTTAAACTGGAAACAAGTCTAAACTTCTCATTTTAGAGAAGTCAGTGAGTATTTCTCTGATTTACACTCATGTTCTGAAAGCGTATTTAAGTAAAATCGGCTCTGCATGCCACCAAGTCAGAAAAAAAACTGATTCAGAGCAGCGACTTTTATATATGAGTGCTGTTACATGATCCGAATCCACCTCTGCAGCAGTGAAACAGCAGCACAAACTTTAAAGTCAATATTTTCAGTATCACCACTCCCAACAAAAGAAAGTCTCTGGCTTAATACGGGAAGTATGGAAACAAAGACGACTCCCTACAGACCGAAAATAAGCACTCACGAGACAAAACAAAAGCAAATCATTCCACTTCAAAGCAGACTTTTGCTTTGTGCTACCTGCTCCCAGGCCGCCTGCAGCTGACCTTCCAGCCTTGCTTTGTCCTGGTGCAGTTGTTGGAGCTCCTTCTCCATTGCATCTTTCAGTTCAGTTCGCTCCAAGTTGAAGTGGGCTTCTGGAGGTCCGGGATCAAGACCATTCTCTGGTTTGGCCAAGATCTGCTCCCTCTGAAGCCTAAATACCATCATGTAGGAACAAACCAGGTATTATTACACTGCTGATGGCAGTGCTTGAGTTCAGCCCCGCCCACAGACTTCAAACAAAGATCGGACATTGCCGGGTTAGAATAACTTTGCAACAAAATAATCCAAAGTAGTCGTGTTATATTATGCTCTATGTGCAAGATTTAGCATATCCTACATGCTGTCTCTAATTATGGGAACGTTTTCATACACACTACAATAAATTTTAGTAAATGGATCAGACCATTGTTAAACTGCAGCTCATAAACAATCACGTCTAAACAAATAGGAATGAAACAAAGAAAGCATCACCTGTATGCAATCAGGAGGGCATGATGAGTTTGGGTGATCCTCTGTAGTCTCTTCTTATACGAGCGAGCAGCAGTGGCGAGCTGCTCCTCCCTCGCCCTGTAGGATAAACGAACATCCTGCAGCATGCTGTCGATGAATCCTCTCATCTTACTCGGCTCTGATGGCCTTTTACTTTCTTCAAGCCCATCGATGTAGTCCTGGATTACACAGAGCAGAGGTCTTATCAATACTGCCACGTCTTACTATCAAACCTGCTTTGTGTGTGCCGTTACTCACAGCTATGTCCTGTAAGTAGCACACGAGCCTTGTGCGATATTCCTCAATCAGCTCCTTCACCTGCAGCTGCAGCTTGGAGTTCTCCTCCTCTGCCTCCTTTAATTGTCTCTGAGAGCACATCAGGGCCTTCAAAGGAAACAGCACATAGAGAACATCATTACCGCCCACCTATAAAGTTTAAACAGAGCAAGGGATGGATATACAAAGTTATCACAGCATTACAAATCAGCATATAAACAGTGGTAATAACCAGGAATGCTCACCGCACTCTGCTCAGAGACTTTCTGCTGGCTAACGTGCATCGCTCTGTGGATCTGCTGGTGCTCTTTACCCATCGCCACCCTGGTCACCAAACACAGGCCACGACCACAAGAGAGCACAAATCCACAGAGAAGAAGCAAAGAGACCACATCACACATGCACAGAGCAAGTAAAGCCACAGCTTAGCAGAAAAAAATCAAAGAGGCAACCACAAAGCAGATGCATGTGGGGCAAACACTGGGACGCACTACATCCTGACTGGAAATGCAAAGATAATGATCTTTTATTTTCATTGAGCTTTTGCACAAGTAAATGACAAACACTCGCACACTTTCTCCTCCAGTTTCTTCTGCTGCTCCTTGTAGCTGCTCTTCATTTCCTCCAGCTTGTCTTTGATCTCATCTTGGTTTTCAAGCAGCTACGTGAGGAAGATGAATGAAAAAGCTGAGGGAGGCAGTCAGAGACTTATAAACTTCGACGGTTACTATTTTGAAACTTAAGGACTCACAGTTTTCTGCATGCTTTTTTGCTCCTTCTCCATCTCTGCTTGTTCCTCAGGCTGTCAATACAACATACAAGCATTTCAAATGAACAACATAACAAAACATGAGAATCTGTATTCTAATTCTAACAACTTAAAGTTGCTCCTTATGGTGGAGCTCGATATTTACTGCCTCGCCTTGACTGTGTCATGTGACATGCGGGTGATCAAAGCCCGCACCCTGTCTAGCTCCCCATGAAGACCTTCGGTGCTGGTCTTCACACATTGATGCTGCTCCTCCAGCTGCCTGCGGAGGGCGTCCTGGGCCTGGGCCAGCACCAGCAGCTCTGCTGTGAGCGCTCCACTCTTGGCTAATTCTTTATCGTGGACCTCAGCCAGAATCTGGTAGTTCTTCTTTAGTGTGGCATATTCCTCAGTCAAGTCCTGGCCACTAGTCTCTTTCCCTTTCAGGCATGTCTCAGTGGACTGCAGTTCCCTGAGCAACCTGTCTCGCTCTATTTCCAGCTCTGTTATCACACCTTCTTGGTTAAGTACCTAACCAGAGTGAGAAGGAAAAAAAAGTGTAGAAAAGGTGATTCAGGATGATCCTGCCAGCAGTCTTGTTGTGGAAGGATTTGTAGAAAAACCCTCACCTTGGTTTTCAGCTCAAATGTCTCTTCTTCATACTGTTCTCTTATCTTATTAGCCTTAATTTTCTCCTCTACAAGCTCCTTATAGATCTAAACAGACATTGGGAGAGAAAATAAAAAGGTTAGTTCTGTAGTATACACTCACAATTAAATTATGACTCATGTTTGTTTAACGCACCTTCAGTCTTTCCTCTTCACTCTGGACCAGCCTGCAGGACAGGTCTGTGTTGGAGCTGGCCAGGTGGCTCAGTCTGGTCTCCAGGTAGCCCACTTTGGTGAGGACACGCTCGTATTTGCCACGCCACTGCAACTATACATGCACACATTTTATACAGAGGGGGAAATAATTCTTTGATCCCCTGAAAAACAGCACCAAAGTATAATGCCTCCACCTCTCTGTGCTCGACTGTGGGGACGGTGTCCTTTAAGTTATACTCAGCATTTCCCTCCTTCCAAACATGACGGGTCAATTTTGGTTTCATCTGACCACACAACTTTTCTGCCAAGACTTCTCTGAATCAAACAGATACGTTTGTCTACACATGTGCATAGGGACCCTTACAAGATCCCACAAGCAGCTTCTTTGCTGATGGTCTTGTAGCTCATTCCAGCCTTGTGCAGGTGTAAAATCCTGTCCCTGACGTTCTTTGGAAAGGTTAGAATTCTGTGGACAGGTGTGCTCTATAAATATAACAGTTACGATCAGGAGTATCATTAATTGATCAATTGGTTGGTTGGCTGTGGACCACATGGGCACACAGCCAGTTGTGGCTGGGTTAAAGGAGATCAGGTATCTCACTCAATAACATGCAAATACATTTAGAACTTTATTTAATCAGTTATTTTTTTCTAGGTTGTTTTTTCTTCTTTGTCCATTAAAATGAACCCATTATAAAACTTCGAAACTGTTAATTTCTTTGGAAGAAAGCAAACATAAAAAGCACTAGTCTCAAGGCCTCCAGTTTTGCTGCTGTGTGATCATTTCACCCTTTTTGGTAAAGCTACCTTGCCAAAAGCGAGAACACTTAGTAAGAAGACAAATGGGAAAGGTCTTACTCACATTTTCTCCTGTCAGAGCTTGAACTCGTTCCTGAAGCTGATTTGAATTTTGGTCCTGGCCGTCCATCTTTTCTTCCCCTCCACTGTCAGCTGTTGCTTGTATCCACCAACAACCTCTCCATGACTCCACAACACAAACAAAACTCATGTGTGGAAACTCTTTCTTCAGATTTCACTTAATACCAATCGTGAATAAATGTGTATTATCACCACCACATGTCACAGTAAATGTATTCTGGTGCATATTTGACCGCTCTTAGCCTGCTAACCTGTTAGTATCTAAAGTTAGCTTGGTAAAACATGAAGTACGGGTAACAGTAACAGTTTTATAAGCGACACCGCTGTTTCTATTTATCCTTTATACTGTATTAATTCAGTCCCTTATCAAAGAACTACGGTACAATTCTATGGACAACGGCGCCCTCTTGAGCACACAGTTGGAATAGCTGCTCTTCTATAATACTTCAACAATCTAGCTTAACAACCCAACATAGTACCGTACGCTCATTATATTACATCATAACTAATGACAGGGGGTTATGCTAACTCAGCCAAACATAACAATCTTATCTCTCATACACAAAAGGTGATCATGATAATTGAAAAAAATAGAAGCACAGTCGAGGTTTCTGCTACACCTTGATACTTAAAAAAGTCTGAAAAGGTTAGAACTCCAGCAGCACTTGCAACACAAAAAACAGCTTTACACCTCAGTCAGTGTGCAGTGAGCTTTTTTGCATATCTAGCTAAAACAAAAACTATGATTTCCATCTCATTTTATTTGATGTTTTAATGGGAACTTTACAATGTATAAGAACAATGCAATTAATTTACAGTCTATGGTACTGCTAGACGTGGCCTCGTGTTATCAAAAATAGCTCCAAAAGGCTTTACAGAGATGAGTCAAGACACTGAGAAGATATTTACATTTAATACATCAGCTGAATATGAAAATAAATTGTACCAAATGTGTGTAAACCACAGTCAGACATGAGGAATAACTCAATCCCTGTAAAAACAGTCGTTCATAAAGCCACAGAGATAAATCTATAACATCATTCAGAGCCAAGTTTAGCTCAAAGGCGTTCTGCGTTCACAAAAGCTGCTGGAAAAAGGTTAAACCTAGGATTTAAATTTAAGAATAAAACAGCTGCATTACATGATTTCCCTTTGCAGAGGATAGAGGTTCAATGTTCATTATATTCAGCATTTTGGAGAATGTTGCAACCTCGGCCAAGTTTGTCATATACATTAACTCCATATTGCAGTATCTTGTGTAGGTTTTTGATGTTTTGCAGCTCACACACACACAAACGTTTTAGTTTTCGTGTTTTCCACAGTACTCTTTCAATATCTGATAGTCGAGTGCCTTTGAATGCAAACAGATGCTGTGCTCAGTCCACATAATGTGACTTTGGCAACCCTCATATCTCCCATGTAAGTTGTTTCGGACAAAACTAACTCCACAGTTATTTCCGGTCTGAAAAAGTGCAGATATATTTGATATAGTTTTACTGGGTTAAAACATGTTTAAATCCTCCTCCACTTCATCTTCCTCCTTTGAGATGTGTATCTTGTCACTGCGATCCATAGGTATACCAAGCTCTTTCTGCAGGGCCACTAGGCTGGCCTGGCTGATGTAGTAGCTAACATTCTGGGATGGCAACAGCTTTTGGAGCTGCTCCAGTTTACGATTGGCCTGGAAAAGCATTACAAAGGACACAAATAGAAAAATTTAGAAAGTAGCACCAAGGATTTGTTTTTTTAAATTGAGTTACATGATGAATCATTACAGCCCTACATTAATGTGATTAGTGTAATCTGACCTATTGAAAAATCTAGAAAAAGAAGACAGTCACCAATTGGAAGTTGCCTTGCTGACAGTGGTGCTCGATAAGGAAACCAAACACATCTCCAATCCTCACAGCAGGGTCCAGCTCTGGCTCCTCCAGCAGGGTTTCACACAGCTGCACCGCCTCGCTGGCATCCTCGCTGTACAAACTGTAGACAAATGTGATGAGCTCAAAGCTTCGCAGACAGGTTGACCCGCGCAATAACGAAACATCCATCAAAAACGACCCGTTCTATGATGAAAACCAAAACTTACGGTAAAACTGAAATAATGAAAATGAGTTCATATTCGTACCTGCGTATGTGGACAAACTTCCTGATTAAGGTGATCTTGTGCTGCAGATCAGCCAGTCGCACTTCCTGTTGTCCGCTTGAAGCGTCCTTTGCTTTTGAGAGACACTTTGATGCCTCAGTCAAAGCATCCAGAGCCTTTTCATAGTTCTGGTAATCATCAATCTCCACCTTTTAAATGATAACAAAATAACTTTTTATTGAATCATCAAGATTTATCTATAAATTGTATTTTGCTTGATGTGCTCTGATACTGAGGCAGGCTTTTTTGTTTTTTTTGTTCCAATTATATAATTCAATATAAACGTCAAAACAAACCAGCCAAATGAACTGATATTTTGCTCACCTGAGCACAAGCTTCATAGAAGCCAGCAAGCAGGTCCGGTGCCCTGCCTTTAGTGTAGAAACCAATAATTGTTTTTAAGATATCTGGATCTTTACGCCAGTCTAGAGATTGGAGATAGTTGGCGGCCAAGATGAAAAGCTCTTTCTGACGACTAACATTGGCAAAGAAAACAATTTTCTCTGTGTCGCCTGACTTCAGGAGCGCCCTCATTGCCTGTTAAGAAGAAAGAAAATAATTTAAGTTTTTAGAGTCACAATTATTTCGTTTCCAGTGTAACAGCATGACGCATACTTTTTTTTCCCCTCAAGGAGACACATTAGGTGTTGCATATGTATCAGGCAAGATACGTCCTATGCACAGAATTCCTAATGAGTGTATAGCACATCTGATAATTACCTTGAGTTTGTTGCCAGCCTGTGTGTATTTCTTAGTGGCCAGATGGTAATTGCCCTGCCGCATGCAACAGTCAGCGATCCTCTCCAGCAGCTCCTTGCGGGCCTCTTCAGACATATCCTTCGAATCAGGTACAGTCATTCTCTCGGCCAAATCCTCTGTGATCGTTAGGTTCTGCGTCACGCACAGTTCCAGGGCTTGGTGGTACTGGGTACACAAATGTGGAGACACAAAAGCAGGAGTTAGCACATATGAATGGATTTACAAGCAGACAGGTGATGCTGTGTCGCAGCGGTACCTTCTTGGCTGCTACCAGTAACTCCACTGACTTCTCATACTTGGAATGTGTGCTGAAGAAGTCAGAGCAGCGAGCCAGGAGGGCTGGGTCTGAGCTCTCATTGAGATCCTCTGCGATCATCTCAAGAGCACCAAACTGCTCGGTGGCAAAGGCCAGCTCTAGAGCTCTGGACACATAGCCAGCCTATAAGAAAGAAATGCATAAATATAGCCACAGTTGAAAATCTACTTCACATTGCTTACTTTAAATGTATTTAACAATACCACCACCCCCCCTTGTGGAACGATTTATAATGCATCAATCCATTCACTGGAAAGGAAAAAAAAACACACCTTGTGGTAAAGCGCAACAGCACGATCCAAATGGGAGCCTTTCTCCTCGTAGTAACATGCAGCCTCCATCATGTCCTCTGGGTTACTGAGCAGGGCCAGGTTCATCAGCTGGTCATCCAGGCCGTTCTCCTGATCAGACAAACACAAGAAAACAACGATGGGAAAAAAGAAAGCAAACAAAAAAAGAAAAAAAGTCTTGCTTTATATATAGATATATATTTCTAACTGAGGCTGCTGAGAAACCCTTACTTTACAAAGTCGTATAGCATTATTGTAGGCCTGGGCTCGTGTGTAGAAGTGAACAGCTTGTTTAATATCATGTCCCTCGTAATGCCTGGCCAGGTGGTAAGAAGCTGCTCTGTCTCCCGTATTGTTGGCTATCTCTGACGCCTAGGAAATTTCAAAAATGTTATCATATAAAAGAAGAATGTAAATTAGTCAGAATAACAATACTGTTTACAGTGGCTTACAGTGGTACAAGCCTATACATGTTTCCTAAGTACACAAGACACTATATATAAATCAGTAAACTCAACTCTTCAAGATCAAATTCTTTAAAATTACAAGTTTACAAACTGAGTCACCTTCTGAATGTCCCCCCTGTAGCAGAAGATTCGAACGAGGGAAAGATAATCCTGAGCACACTCGTAGAAATGCAGTGCAGAATCCAGGTCTGCCTGGCTCTCCAGGTACTGGGCCCACCACTTATAGATGCTCCTGAGTTATACATATGGAAGGCCTGGTGTTTAAAAGCATTTCAGATGTTTTTAACCATAAAGGGAGAGCCGGGACTTACTTGTCTTTCATTTTGTTAACATAAATCTCTAGAGATGACGTGTCGTCCTGGAGCATTCTGGGCACTTCAACTCTGTGTGTGTCTGATTTCTCATAGCTGTAACAAAAAGGATAACAATCAGTCACACTTTGTTTCTATTGTATAGTTGTTCCGACACACACGACTACATTACTGACCAAATAATAAATAAGCTTTTGTTTTCCTTACTAAGTGAGGGCCAGTGTCTTGTCGCCCATGGATTCCAGGTATTTGGCATAACTGTAGTACGTGGCGCGCAGGTGGATGCGATCATGAACTTCAGCTGTCTCCAAAGCCTGCTGCCATTTACCAGAAGCCTGATAGAAATTGTTCAGCAGGTCGTAGCGCTGACAGCTTTTGTACAAATTTTCTGCATCCTCCTGTTGGAAGACAGGAAAAGATGATGGAAAGATAAATGCTTTTGGCCCGGAAAGTCCCTTAGTCTGTGCGTGGTACAACTTAAAGGAAGGATGTGTTATTTGTAGCCAAAGCATGTGGCATTTCTGTGAGCTGGATCGCAGGTTTTTTTGTTTTAAAAATGACTAAAATTATCTTCTAGAATGATTTTATAAACTCAAGTTCCTTTTTTTTAAAGTTATCTTGTCTTTTTAAATGAAATGTAATCTTTTCTCTTATGGAGTTTTCACATTAAGTTGCAACCTGAACCCAAATACAGAGGAATAACCCTTTTTGCAATTCTTTCTTATAGTCTGGGGCGAAAATAAAAAGATTCTTTAATATCTCACCAGCATGCCCAGCTGAATGGCCAACATCGCAACTTGGGTTTCTGGTTCAGGCTCAGCCTCCGCCTCCTTTAGTGCTTTTGCTGCCCTGGCATTTCCCATATTCCCAAGGCACACGCGTGCCACATCCAGCCGGCGGGTTTTCACACACATCCGTGCCATGTTTTCCCACACCGCTTTACTACAAGAGAAAGGAGAAATGGCTTGTTTGCAAGGATGATGTGTGTGTGGCTCACTGCCTTGGCATTTTAGTATTCAACAGTAAGATCAGTTATACACACATACACAAATAAGTAAATATATACATAGAAAAAAATTAAAAGTTGGTAGGTATTTAATATTTTCCACTTATGTCTGGTTCCATTTAAGCTTATCTTTGATAGTTAGACTGAATGCATGTGAATATGGGGACAAACCTGACTTAAGGCTTTAAATGCTTTTATGTCACTAGGGTCAGACTTTTAGTGGTGCAGTATCATTCCAATATCAAACAATGATAATGAATGTCCATCAAACAATCCTGTTTACTGATAAAAGCATAACCTAGAAATTATTACATTTTAAGATGGAGAAGAGGATTTTAAACTCAAAACAGAGGTCATTCTTTATCTTTCCTTTTCTTTTTTCCTTTTCTCTGACGTAAATCAAGTCTTTTACACACACCCCATCCCCCAGTTCAGTTTCAATTCCAAATATAAGATTCCACAGCCATCTGGTCTCTATTTCCATCCCCTCCCTCCTCCTTGCTTTAGCTGATACAGATGTGGGCTGTTTATTAAAGTTAGGCAACAGGAAATACCCCAAATCTTTAGGGGCCTTGCTATAAGAAGTGAGACAAAGTGAAAAAAAGCAATAGTAATAGGTGGCAGCCAAAGTCTTACTGTTTATGGTAATAGAAAACAAAACAGAGGGAGGGAAAAATCTGGGTTATTTAAAAATGTTGAGTAAAAAATCATGTTCACAGCACTCTGAGTGGCCAGATTTAGAGAGCCAGAAAAGGAAAGACAAGAGAAGAAACAGGTCTACATTTGGCCTCTCTTCCCATCCTCTTTTCCTCTCAGGAAACACATCCTGTTGCTGGCCGACTGTGGCAGTCACTATGTTTGTTGTACATGAGAGTGGAGACTTTAGCAAACGCCCCCTGGTCTCCAGACAAAAGAATATACCGAACAGTGACGTCTAAGAGGGGGTCTTTTGGACATTCTGTCACACGAACGCACTGGCACAAACACAGGCTCATATTTAAAGTGATCATAAGGAGGGAGCTGTTTGTTCAGTGCTTGCTACAGCTGCTAAGTGATTCCTCGGATTATGATGAACTGCAACTCCCCTGCATTTCAACTCTGACCGCAAACATTTGCAGAGAAACCGTGTGTGCGCGAGTGAGCAACAGAGAAAAAGAGAGAGTGAGAGGGGGGAAAGATAGAAGGAGGCAAAAGGGGGTGGGCTAGAGGACTTCTTGTTCCAGGCAGGCAGCAGGGGCTCTTCAAGTTGAGAGACAGTCTTGGGTAGTCAAAGCAAAGCCACCTACGAGTCAGCTCCTAGCAACGCTCTCCGAAGAATCTACTTTTGTCATCTGTACTTTTCTGGAAGAAATGTGGCATTTCTGAGAAGAAGAAAAGGAAAGTCGATCTACTGCACACCTAAATAAACCAACTGCAAACCCAGAAGTCTGAAAAGTGCATTAAACAGAGCACTGGAGGGTGGAAAAGCAGAAAATAAAAGTACAAGCAAGGACTGAGATCCAAGAGTCAAGCTGCAGTCAGCCGGAGCCAGTGGAATGGACCTAGGTGCCAGTTGGATCAATCCCGACGTACCCACACTGCTGTCTGAGGAGGAGGGCTGAGGATCTGCTGCAACGACAACCGACTCCTGAATGAGGATGAATGGAGATGTCCTTTAGCTAAGCCCTAAAACAAAACTCTTGCCAAATTCACCTCTGGGTGAGCTGGGACGACACTAGCTAATAGCTGAAAGAAGAAGGTGGTGGTGGAGGAGGTGGAGAGTAGCCAGGGGGCCCAGAGCACTGCTAGTGCTCCTGGCCCAGAGGAGAGGCGAGGGAGCTGGCAGCCCACTGAGCTCGAACAGGACTCGGAGCAGGGGCACGACGGAGGGGGAGAGGTGGCAGGTGCCGGGCATCACATGGCCTTGCAGAGGCTGGTGGTAGCAGCGGTGGCCGTAGCCCTGCTGTCCCTGGTCCTAAATAATGTGGCAGCCGTCACACCCAGCTGGGTTCTGCAGGCTCTGGAGGACGGCCGAAAGCGCAGTGTGGGACTATGGAAGATGTGCCCCAACGGCGGGGAGAGGGGCCGTGATGACCTCCAGGCTGACAGAAGGGGGCAAGGCACACAGAAGCAATGTGAAAGCATTGGTTGGGGCTCTGAGTATGCAGGCTACCAAGAATCCCGTAGCACTGTCAAATGTAAGTTTTAACTTTACTTTAGATTTTACATTCGACATCACAGCATGCTTATGTCTGCTTTAAAAAAAGTGTCTAACCTTTGTCTTGTTAAACTTGCTGACTGATACATTGGTACATCCTTATAAATAAAAGAAATACACTTAATGCTGCAGATATCGCTGTACTGCAGAGTTTTATATAGTAGTCAGTTTTGTTCGTTTTCATATGAAAACACACCTCTGAAGAATTTCACTGTTGGGGTCAAATTGACATCCATGAATTAAATCCAAGCTCCTAACTTTCAAGTTTATCCAATGTATTCAACCATCCAAAAATCTGTAGCATGTACTCCATAAAACAGCTACATTTTTCAGTCAAAGTCAATGCTTTATATGCTTCTAATAATAAGCTCCAAACTGTCATTCAAGAACAAGTCTGGGAAATGCTGGAAATCCATTGGCCAGCTTTACTGGTCACTGGGCAGCGCTGCCAACTAATGGCAGAAGTGACTTACCATTCATGAAAAAATAGTAATCGTGTCAATGCTCCTGTGCTGGAAGTGTATTTTATAACCCTGTTTCCAAAAAAAACAAAAAAACTGGAATATAGGTCACAAAAGAACAGAACTCCTCCCCCCACAAAACTTCAAAAAACATAACATAACATAGAAACCTCGACAATTTCAGAAAATCTCAGCCAATATAGGAGTTTTATCCTTGCATGATTTCATCATCTGCGGTATAAACTGTCATAAATAAAAGACTCAGATAATCTGGAGAAATCTACATACTTCTAAAATCAAAGTGAACACAGTTTTTGCATCCACAAATAAAAGTTCAAGCTCTACCACGCAAACATAAATTGAACATGAACTGGTATTCATGTAGAGGTTTTACACTCTAACTGACCACTTAATGTATCTACTGGACTGTATGAATACATGAATGTCTTCAAGGGAAATCTGTAGATGGATGTTTCAGGGGTTGTTGTGGCTCAGGAGGTAGAGCAGGTCATCTACTAATTGAAAGGATGATGGTTCATAAGTATGGATGCTTTGCTATCCTTGGCGTGATCACAGTGTGCGTGTGTGTGTGTGTAAATCTTAGATAGAAAGCAGTTAGATGAAGAAAAAGGTACTGTGTGAATGGGTGAATGAGACATGCTGTACAAAGCACTTTTAGTGCTCAAATAGAGTAGAAAAGCACTATCTAAGAACAGGTTTATTTACCTTCAGATCAGGGAATGATCAGCTGTATCCCCTGAGTCACATCAACCAGTAAAACAAACACACAAAAAATATATTAATATGTATAAACAAGACTGAGAAACACAGCTGCCTTTTCTGGGAATGATCTTATATGAGATAGATAGAGTCATGGACAGTCTGTCCAGCAGGCTATAGACAAGATCCATCCAGCTCAGTTCCAAAGCATCTGTGATGGTATAGGGATGGAGTAGTACACAAGGCACTGGCAAAGTGCAGAATGTCTGGATACTTGCATATGCTGCCATCAGGGCAGCGTTTGCTTCTGGGAAGGTTTTGTCTTTTTCAGCAAGACAATGCCAAACCACATTCTGCACGTAATTACAATTCTGCAAGTATAACTGCAGTTCTCCAGAGGAAAAGAGTCCTGAGCATTCCTGCCTTCACACACACACATAAAAAAACTGAAACAAGACAAACCAGCTCTGAACCACTGTGAAGCTGAAATCCTATATTTACTTTCAAAAGTAGATGAGTTATACTCCACAGTTCAAAAATCCTTCAGTGTTTCAGAAGAAGAGGTGGCCTCTATGTTCTGTGTTGTTTTTGCACTAGATTTTCTTTTTTTTTTAGAAACCGTGGGTACATTTTAAATAAATTAGTAAATTGGTTTTATGGTGCCTTCAAAAATTCAGACATATAATAAAGCTATCCTTTAAAAACTATTATTGCCATTTAGTTTTTCATGTGTATATTTGACCCTTTTACATCACAGTGCCAGAAATATGACACAACTTTTTCTTCTTGTCCTTCAAGTGCAGTTTAACATGATGCGAGCATGTAACCTGATAGCGACAGTGGCCCTGACTGCAGGTCAGCTGATCTTCCTTCTAGGCCTGATGAAGTTGCCCTTCATCTCACACGAATCCCAGTGGTGGGAAGAAGCCATCGCTGCACTTTTCCAACTAACCAGTAAGTACCAGCATCCCCTCTTTTTAAGTGTTTTGCCATTTGCAAAGATTTAACCAAATCCAAAATTTACATATCCATACAAATGCTACAGACCAAAGTTCACACGGTGTCTGGCCGAGTGCCATAAAATTGGGCTGTAATCACAGCTGGACCTGCACTGGGCAACTTTCCAATACTGAAGATCGACTTCTAAGCCTCAAATGCTGCAGGAAGTTACTGTGAAAAACTTAAGACACTAGCAAATCTCATCCTTTAGGTCTACCTAAGAAAAAGTAAACCCTAATTTAAAAAAAAATAATGCATCATAGACCATATTTTTACTAAATGTGGATGGATACTCATCCATATTTAAATGAAAAGTGGTCACAATAGCGGAAACAAAATCTGACTTGATAAGACTCTCCATCAATTCAGTCAAAATTTCGAAAACGAGAGGAAGATAGAACCTGTACTATCCTCAGGATTAACTGCAATTGAAATTAACTAGCATCTATCCATTGTCGATCCCTCCATCCATCCATCCATCCATCCTCTACTATCGACATTAAGTGTCCCCTATTATTGACTTGTCCCGGTGCCCCTGCTGAGGAAGTGTGTTGTGCGC